GCAGCTATTACCAAATCATCGGCATACATAACGTGGTTGACCAATAGGGAGCCATCCCTTGATCGCACCCGGGCGTCGATCAGCCTCCCATTATATCTGTACCAAACGGAAATTCCCCCGGTACAGCTATTGAAGGCTTCACGAACTACGCGGTCAAAATAGATGTTAAATAATGTGGGAGCCAGAGGACATCCCTGTCGCACCCCAAGGTGTACAGGGAAAGGCTCCGACTCCCGGCCACGTAGTTTTACCCGGGCCCGCTCACCATCATGAAGGTCCTTAATGATCGTGAGCAGAGGGTCAGGGACTCCGAAAGCACGAAGAACAACCCAGAGTCCAGTCCTACTGATGGTATCATAGGCCTTGACCAGGTCAATAAAGCAGAGATGTAGGTCTTTTTGGAATTCCCTACACCTCTGCTGTAGCAGACGGACAGAAAATATGGCATCTGTGCAGGACCGCCCTTTCCTGAAACCGCATTGGGGCTCCGCAAGCCCCTCCTCAGCGTGCCTAGCAAGGCGATGTTGAATAATCCTTGCCAGGACCTTACCCGGCACACTGAGGAGTGAGATGCCCCTGTAGTTGTTACAGTCTGTGCGGTCCCCCTTCTTAAAGAGGGGGACCACCAGGGCATCCTTCCAGTCCTGCGGAACCCGTCCAGTGGTCCAGACTGTTGTTATGATGTCATATAGGGCAGTCTGTGCACAAACGCCACCCTCCCTCAGCATTTCGCTTGGGAGATCATCTCTGCCCGGTGCCTTCCCTGGTCTCAGACTCCGGATCGCCCTCAGTACTTCCTCAACAGCTGGAACCTCAGCCAGCCACTCACAGGGGGTGACCTCTTCCAATATTTGAGGCACCGCAGCCTCAGCAGGGTTATCCCCACTTTGTGCCATGATGTTTTCCTGGCTGAGAGAATTTCCCTCCCCCAGGACCTCACAGAAATGCTCAGAAAATCTGCAAACCTGTTCCTGGGGGTCGGAGATTGGATCACCGTTTTTTCCTCTAATGATGGTAATAGGTGTGGCGCTGCAGGTTACTTTTTTGATGGAGTTAAATAGTGATTTGTGATCACGGGCCACTGAGGCAGACTCCATCTCCTCAGCAACCCGCGACCACCACCCATCCTTACAACGCCTTACGGCTCTCCGAACTTCCGAGCGAAGGCTGCGGTAAACCTCCTCATTCTCTGACGTGGGATGCTGTAGGCGATGAGAGTGGGCCTGTCGCTTTTTCTCAATTAACCTGAACACCTCCTCGGTCAGCCAGGGTTTCTGGGGAGGTCTGGACCGCGTACCCAAAGCAGCCATTGCAGCTGCATGAGTCACAGTCTTAAACCTCGCCCATTTACCCTCGACATCAGGTGGAGTGGGGGACGATGCCAACCCCAGCTGCAAGCGATGATGAAATTCTCGCTTGCAACTTTCATCAGCTAACTGAGACCAGGCCACTTTTGGTTGGAATGGGATCCTGGGTGTACACCCACCACCGGAGTGGAAGAAAGGCAGGCGCATCTTACAGATGACTAGTCGATGGTCAGAGGACAGATCAGCTCCACGGTAGGTCCTGGTGTCAAGGACATGGGTTCGCATCCGCTGGTCCGTCACTATGTAGTCCAGCAGATGTTCTTGCTTGGACCCGGCATGTATCCATGATGTTGTGTGGATGCGCCGATGCCGGAAGAGCGTGTTGGTAATTACAAGCCCATGGGCTGCACAAAAATCTAGCAGCCTCCTACCGTTATTATTGAGCTGATCTGGCCCATGCCTTCCAATCACTCCAGACCAGGTGTCAGCATCATGACCAACTCGGGCATTGAAGTCACCCAACAAGATGACTCTGTCCCGAGTGGCCACTTTAGCCAGCACCTGTGACAGGAGGTCATAGAAAGCGTCTGACTCATCGGCTTTGCTTGCATCCCTCCACGGATGTTCGTCTTCGGTGGGGGCATAAGTAACCACGACCACCACTCCTCGCCTCTGGTTGATGGGAAGGCGAGCCCAAAGTATCCTGGGGCTTACAGCTTCCCACACCTCACCGCCACGCTCCCACGCCCCCTTCATTCTTTTGTTCAGAAGAAGAGCCACACCCTGTTGTTTGGCAGTCTCCTGCCCCGAGTAGAGGACTGTCCACCCCTCATGGTGGCAGGAGCCAGAACCGGTCCACCGGACCTCCTGAATGCCACAGAGATCCAGGCGGTACCGGTCCAGCTCCCGACAGAGGAGTGGCAGCCTCTCCTCCGCAGTGAGCGTTCGAACATTCCACGTGGCCATCCGCAATGGTTTTTTGTTGTTTCTGGAGGAGCCCCGAGGGTGAAAATTCAATCTCCTGGCTCCGCCAAATGGGGTTTGGCCAGGAGACGTCATAAAAGCCTGACCCCCCGGGGCCTCCGGCACAAGCTTATTTGTTACAGGTTTATGTTTAATTCGTGGTTTAGTGGTAATGAATTGAAGGTGGAGGGGTTACCAGCCCCTCACACCCGTCCAGAGCCCCCGTTTAGCCACTGTGGTGGCCACAGACGCCATGAGGGGAGAGGCCAATGGGCATTGGCCCTCCCCCCACAGCAATGTCCACGACAGTGTTGCCCGTCCGGCACCGCGAGGAGGTAGGAGGTTGTTTTGCCGGACAAACACATACACACACATACATACACATACACACAAACACATACACACAGACATACACATACACACAAACACACACATACATGCACACAAACACATACACAATACACACACACATACATGCAGACACAGACAGACACATAACACACATACATACACACACATACACACACATACATAGACACACACATACATACACACACATACATACACACAAACACATGCACACACGTACATACACACATACATAGAGACACGCAGACATACACATAAAGACATAAAAAAAACCCACATACATACACACACATACACACAAACACATACATACACATACATACACACATACATAGAGACACACAGACATACACATAAACACAAACACACATACACATGACCCGGCTTCGCCCGGGACTTGGATCCACGATGCCCCGCCGCCTTTGTCTCCCCAGTGACGATGTTCACACACGACAGCAGTTACGCTTTTGAGGCTGAGTGGACCTAGGGGAGGGCCACGTCCGTTTCAAATAATCGTCAGCGGTGGTGGGCGTGAGTTGGAATCGAACTGGGGTCGCTCAAGCAGCTTAATGACTGTTTGTACAAAGAACATATAAAGAATCGATTATAATAACCAGGCAAGAGTCCACATTATAGACTGCCAGTACACGCACTCAGCTTCATAAGCAGGCTAGAGTGTACATGATAGAGTGGCAGTACGCTCACCGAGCTTAATAAGCAGGCTACAGTGTACATGATAGACTGGCAGTACGCTCACCCAGCTTAATGAGTATTTGTACAGTGAACATTAAAGTAATCGATTGTTGGCGCGTTGGGTTTAAAAGTAATATTAATAGCACACATTGTGGTGGGGGTGTAGTGAAGAGTAGGAAAAACTTTGATGAATTTACCTCAGAGTGGCGTGGTGGGTGTCGAGGCCTAGTAGCGTGCAAAGCCTGCGGCCTCGCCTAAAATTGTCGGCTTGGAAGAGGCAGGGTACGGGTGGCGTTCCTTCCCCCCCCCCCCCCCCCCCCTAGCGCTCCAACAATACTGTGTAATGGCTATTATTTAATTAAATACGGAGCTTATGAAAGTGGCGAAGGCGTGGCTAGCCGTTGGCAGGGGCAACCGCCGTCCAATGAAACTGCAGCCCTTGGCGAAGGCGTGGCTAGCCGTTGCCAGGTCCAATGAAAGCGGCGAAGGCGTGGCTAGCCGTTGCCAGGGGCAACCGCCGTCCAATGAAAGTGCGTATGGGCCAAAGTCCACACACACACACACAGACAGACAGACATGAACGATTTTATATATATAGATATGCCTCTGCATGCGTGCCATATGCCAGGCGTGTTCCCATTTAGTGTTGTGATATTTCGCGATACGATATGACTGTTCACGATATAACGATTATCGCGATAACTTTGTCATCGCATTACACAATGTGTTCTTCGTGTTTTTGTGCTTCTTATTGTTTTTCTTTTCAGTTCACGCCAACACAACTCTGCGACCGAGTAAGTCTGTTTAACCAGCCCGTGTTCTAACCCCACGATCTAACAACGTGCACAGCGTGTCGTTAATACATCCAGCGGGCGATTTTTAAATAAACAATTACGTGCTGCTAAAAACAAACAATTACGTGCTGTGGAGAAGGGACATTGCCCGAAACGTCGTGTTGAGTTTTATTTTTTTTACGGCATACGTCATGATGATTGTTAGAACTTTAAACACGGTTAGTGTGGAACGTGACCATTGCTCTTTCATTTAAAATGTCAGAGCATTTAATAATTGACACGATCTAATTGAACAAATACATTTCGATTTAAAGCTTTCGTGACTGCAGGGATTAATCTTCTTGGTTCTTTCGGTAAAGTCACGTAGAAGGGAAGTAATAAAATAATAAAAATAAAACATAATAAAATAATAAATATTATATTATTTTATTATATTATTATATTATTTTATTATGTTTTATTATTTTATTACTTCCCTTCTACGTGACTTTACCGAAAGAACCAAGAAGATAAACAAATATAGTACACGTGTAATAGAGCTCCAGATAACATATTCCCATCCAGCGGTGGTCTGAGCTGGGACGATAAATCGACGAGAATTAACTCGACCCTTTTGTAAAAATAAATGACGTCACCAAACCTCCCGTCCAGCGGCACACGCGGTCAGAGGTATGCACATCGTATTTCCTCAGCCAATTAGTCCAGAGATTGACTATGGCCTTCAAAAAAACATGACGTATATATAAACTCAAATCGTGTATTATTTAAGCAAATAAAATTAGTTATTTCTATTGGCGTATTTTTGTTCGGTAATCGACTGGCACCCATGGCGTTCAGGTAGGGCCGCGTCGCGTAACAGGGAGTGGTCGATGGCTGTGCAAAGCAGCGGCAGTATCGTAGCCGATTAGGTTTATCCGAGGCGCGATTATTGCCAATTAAAAACTTTTCCCCAATATACCCCGCCACGCGCCGGCTTGCAAAAGTCGGCGTCGGTAATTTTGGCGAGCTCCTTTAGGGAGTTTATTTTTGAACAAGTTTGACTTAAAACTTTCGTGACTTCAGGAATTCATATTCTCCGTTCTTTCGGTAAAGTCACGTAGATAGAAAAATAAAAATAATAAAATAAACACGTGGTTTTTTTGCTTTCATTATTTTCAACTCATTTTAATTTTATTTCATTACTTTTATTTTCTATCTACGTAACTTTACCGAAAGAACCAAGAATATTTTGAACGAATTTAAGAATTGTCATTGGCGATTTTTTCGAGTTCTGTGATCAGTTGGGCGTTCATCCTGGACTCGCGTTTCAGTTCCGAGGTCCCCTGCCTCAATCTCCTGGCGCGGCAGTGGAAACAACCACAGCCGGCGGTGGGGGTGGGGTAACCAGTGGGTTTATTCCCACGTCTTCCAAGACAATATTTCTTGGCCATTGTCATAGCGGGTAAGGCCACAAAAAATAGACGAGCTTTCATATCGTAAGCAGAAGCCCTTTCCGGCAGCAGTGGCGTGAGCAAGGATGTACGATGCTGTTGTAGCTGTACACGTATTCTGCCGTACGGCTAGTAGACCACGTGCGAAAAAGTAGGAATATCAATAGGGAGCAAACTCGTCAACTACTTAATAAAGGTTTTTTGGGGTTATATCGCGTAAATATGGATGATCTTGGTCCCGAAAACATACTACGTGTTAAACGGACTAAAAAACTCCACGGGCAGGATAATTTTCTTCAAACCAGAAAATTGGAGAAACTCCGAATTAAGCGGATGAAGCTGTTGTCTGAAATGGCGTTCCTCAAATATGGATAATGGTCGCGAAATCCTACTACGTGTTAAATCGTCAACTACATGCTGCATCGCTTTGAGGTACAACTGGGACGATACATCGACTACTTTTTGTGTTTAACAAACAATAAGTATAAACCGTAAAAACAAAGTTTTTCACTCTAAATCCTTTATATGCGTGGCGGCTAGAGTCCTCTCGTCCTCTGGCTTGAGATGGCTGCCACCTATGGGTCAGATGATTGTCTGCAGTATTAAACAATTGGTAATTAAATATTTAATTTGTTTTCCCTAAACAGTGTAAAATTTTGGAAAAAATTTTTCACGAACATTAATTGTCTCGCACAACGAGTCTGTGTGCAAAATGTCAGCTCGATTGGATCACGGGAAGTGGGTTAAAAAACGACCGAAAGATTTGCACGGTCGTAAGCAAGCAAGCAAGCACGCAAGCACGCAAGCAAGCGAACTTAATATAAAGGATTTAAAAAACAACTAAACACGTTCGGCAAGAACTTTTTCTCTCTCGCGTGGTTGGTTACCTGGACGCTTCCCACGAATTGACGAGCATTGTGCTGATGACGTCGGCAAGCGACAACCATCACCTCCCGTCCAGCGACACAAGCGGAACTCAGCTACGCGAATTGTAAGCGCAAATTCCTCATCAAATTAGTCGAGTAATTGACTCCGGTTTTGAATTACAATATTTAAACATTCACTAACATCGTCTGTGCGCAGTGGCAGTATTGTAGTCGATGAGGTTTATCCGTAGCGCGATTATTGCTAATTGAAAACTTTTCTTAATACCCCTCTACGCCGGCTTGCAACACAGTCGGTGTCGGCAATTTTTGCGAGCTCTTTCGAGAGCTTTGCTTTGTAACAAATTAAAGACTTTAAAACGTACCCCTTGAGTTTTTTCTTTACGGTGATGGGGAGGTGGCGTTTGTGTGGTGTAATCGTTTTACATTGGACTTGTAATTGTCCGTAGTTTATTTCGCCTCGATCTCGCAGTACGTGGACACGTTTATTACATCACTGTCCGACTTCTCCACGTGTACGATTCTATTTACGTGAAATCAACAGGGAAGCCTCGCTACTGCAGACCCCACAGCCTTCATCTTTCGATTCTGCACCTTTCCTTTTAGACCACGCCCCTTCCTCTTTAGGCCACGCCTCCCGTCTGTTTAAGCCCCGCCCCTTCATCTTTAGGCCACGCCTCCCGTCTGTTTAAGCCCCGCCCCTTCCTCTTTAGGCCACGCCTCCCGTCTGTTTAAGCCCTGCCCCTTCATCTTTAGGACACGCCTCCCGTCTGTTTAAGCCCCGCCCCTTCATCTTTAGGCCACGCCTCCCGTCTGTTTAAGCCCTGCCCCTTGCTCTTTAGGCCACGCCTCCCATCTGTTTAAACCACGCCCCTTCCTCTTTAGACCACGCCTCCCGTCTGTTTAAACTCCGCCCCTTCCTCTTTAGGCCACTCCTCCCGTATGTTTAGGCCACGCCCCTTCCTCTTTAGGCCACGCCTCCCGTCTGTTTAAACCACGCCCCTTCCTATTTAGGCCACGCCTCCCGTATGTTTAGGCCACGCCCCTTCCTCTTTAGGCCACGCCTCCCGTCTGTTTAAGCCCCGCCCCTTCATCTTTAGGCCACGCTTCCCATCTATTTAAGCCCTGCCCTTTCATCTTTAGGCCACGCCTCCCGTCTGTTTAAGCCCCGCCCCTTCCTCTTTAGGCCACGCCTCCCGTTTGTTTAAGCCCCGCCCCTTCCTCTTTAGGCCACGCCTCCCTCTGTTCAAGCCCCGCCCCTTCCTCTTTAGGCCACGCCTCCCATCTGTTTAAGCCCCGCCCCTTCCTCTTTAGGCCACGCCTCCCGTCTGTTTAAGCCCCGCCCCTTCCTCTTTAGGCCACGCCTCCCGTCTGTTTAAGCCCCGCCATTAATTTCACAGACTCGGACGCAATGAACGGCATTGCTATGGGAATGCCTGGCGATTAAAATAACCCGTGGAATGCTCATAAGTGAAGCCAAGTCTGAGTTCATCTGTCACGACTTTTGAGTCGATGCTCCGACACGCCAGCAGCAATTAGGACTCTAACGGTACGGGGGAATTGAAACCGCGTGATGATGTAACGCGTTTGGGGTAGAGAAACAGGCTTAGCCGCATATAGAACGCAAAATCGCGCAAACCGAACCCGCATAAAGCGAGGGGCAATCTGTCTTTTACACAAAACCGCACAGACTTGCACAGAGACCAGCGACTAGCAATGTCCCGCACCTCCGATTAGCACCGGTGGGTACGTACGGTGCGAAAGAAGTTTAACGTACATACTACATACGACCCCCGACTTAGACTTACAAAGAGCCCAGCGCCCACCCCCAACGATTGACTACAAGCCACGTCTAACATCAGTGGTGAACCGCTCCTGCGCCTCCCCTAGGTCGACTCAGCCTAAAACGATTACCTTGCGCCTAGTGCAAACATCAGCACTGGGGAGATGAAGGCGGCTGGGTGTGGTGCTCGTCATATTACCTCCGGTCCTTAGATGTGCCACTAACAGCACTTGCCCCCCAACAGCCTCTGTGAGGCTATACGGGTGATCTTTGTCATTGTCTTTGCAAGTGTGTAAGCTTGTGTGTGTGTGGGGAGCGGTAGTGTAGCGGTTAGCACGCTACGCTACGAACCCGGCGACCCGAATTTGGTCACTGACACCAGTAACTAATATGTGAACCAGTCCTGGGCCTCCCCTAGGTCGACTCAGACTCAAATTAGTACGTGGTACGGTGTGTAAGCATCGCCATTGGGGAGACAAAGGCGACCGGGCGTGGTGTTGGTCACCCACCCCCTCGTGTGCCGTGCCGGCCTTCATAGGTGCTCGCGAACAGCACTTGCCCCAACAGTCTGTCGAGGCTATACGGGGGATCTTTGTCTTTTGTGCGTGTGAGTATAAGTGTGCATGTGTGAGTCTGTGGGTCTCGAGGTTCACTGGGAGGTCTCGGAAGCACCTGGCCACTCGAAATATCTTCAATCAAAACAAAAGTTTCACACTCGCTTCTTGCTCCCTCTTAGTGACGTCAATCTGCCGGTGACAAAGACAAAGATCCCTCGTGTGGAGTTCACAGACTTTTGGGGCAAGTGCTCGCCAACAGCACTTTGCCCCAAAAGTCTGTATCGAGGACAAGCACTCACTCACCCACTCACTCACTCACTGGGTCGTCCACTCACCCACTCGGGCATTCACTCACCCATTCACTCGCACACTCACCCACACGGTCATTCACTCACTGGGTCGTTCACTCACCCACTCAGTCACTCACCCACTCACAAACTCACCCACTCAGTCACTCACTCGCTCACAAACTCACCCCCTTCCTCACTGGGTCGTTCACTCACCCACTTAGTCACTCACTCTCTCACACACTCACTCACTCACTGAGTCGTTAACTCACCCACTCAGTCACTCACTCGCTCACAAACTCACCCACTCCTTTACTGGGTCGTTCACTCACCCACTCACAAACTCACCCACTCAGTCACTCACTCGCTCACACACTCACCCACTCCCTCACTGGGTCATTCACTCACCCACTCAGTCACTCATTCCCTCACTGGGTCGTCCACTCACCCAATCACTCACTCACTGGGTCGTTCACTCACCCACTTAGTCACTCACTCGCTCACACACTCACTCACTCACTCCCCTCGCTCGCTTACCCATTCATTCACGCGGTCACTCACCTTGCACGCGAGTTTGCAAACGCTGTTTGCAGTGACAACTACCGGCTGGCTTCCGTAGGTCTACTGCCAATTAAATACTTCCGAAGATCAAAGGCACGTGGGAAATGATTACTTAGCCCATCCTGACGTAGTTTGTGTTTTCGGCGGACCACTCATGACGTTTGACGGCTCGTCAATTATTGGGATGGGTTAGGTCACAACTCAAGTATCAAGGCTGCCTCCTCCCTGGGTCTCTGTTATCAAGGGGTTAAGTATTGATCAATTTGCCTTGTGTTAAAGAAAGTGGGTGAGTTGTTTGAGCGAGCGGGTGAGTGTGTCAGTGAGTGGGTGAGTGTGTCAATGAGTGGGTGATTGAGTGGTGAGTGAGCAAGTGGGAGAGTGGGCGGTCGAGTGGGGTGACTGAGCGGGTGGGTGAGTGAGTGACTAGTTAATCGAGTGAGTGTGTGAATGAGTGAGCAAGTGAAAGAGTGGAATGAGTGCGCTGGTGGGTGAGTGAGTGAGTGGGTGAGTGGTGGGTGAGTGAGTCAATGAGTAAGTGGGTGAGTGAGTGAGTGAGTTTGGTGAGCGAGTGGGTGGGTGTGTGAATGAGTGAGTGAGCGAGTGGGTGAGTGGGTGAGTGAGTCAATGAGTGAGTGAGTGAGTAAGTGAGCGAGTGAGTGGGCGAGTGAGTGAGTGAGCGAGTGGGTGAGTGGGTGGGTGTGTGAATGAGTGAGTGAGCAAGTGAGAGAGTGAGATGAGTAAGCTGGTGGGGGAGTGGCTCATTGAGTGAGCAGGTGATAGAGTGGGTGAATGAGTGGGATGAGTGAGCTGGTGGGTGAGTGAGTGAGCGAGTGGGTGAGTGATGGGTGAGTGAGTGGGTGAGTGAGTGAGCGAGTGGGTGAGTGAGTCAATGAGTGAGTGAGCGAGTGGGTGAGTGAGTCAATGAGTGAGTGGGTGAGTGAGTGAGTGAGCGAGTGGGTGAGCGAGTGAGTGAGTGGGTGAGTGAGTGAGCGAGCGGGTGAGTGAGTGAGCGAGCGAGTGGGTGAGTGAGTGAGCGAGTGGGTGAGTGAGTGAGCGAATGGGTGAGTGAGTGAGCGAGTGGGTGAGTGAGTGAGTGGGTGAACGAGTGGGATGAGTGAGCTGGTGGGTGATCGTGTGAGGAAGTAAGAGAGTGGGTGAACGAGTATGCGAGCGAGTGGGTGGATGCGTGAAAGAGTGTGTGATTGAGTGGTGAGTGACCTAGTGAGAGATTCAGGTGAGTGAGCGGCCGGATGAATTGAATGAACTAGTGGGTGTGATCGAGTGAACGAGCATAGGAACGAGCGAGTGAGCGACCGGGCGAGCAACAGAGTGGGTGAACGAGTGGTTGAGCGAGTTGGGTGAGTGGCTGCAAGTTGATGGCGTCATTAAAATTGGCATTCTCGTTTCTGAGAGGCCTACTGGATGTGGTGTACCGGGTGAGAAGCGTTTACATATACAACTGTCGCTGTCCCGGGAAGACCGGGCCTGCAATGGATAGAGTGATACCCCTGGACCCACGAATTGAATGACACATCTAACAGACGGGTACTGGTTCGGAACTTCCCATTAATCATTCGCCTAGGGGCAGCTTGTCCCCTGTGAAGGGGAGCACTCCGCTGGGATTTAAACCGAGCTCGGGGCCTGGGCTCTCGAACGTCGGACACCGTGGGGGGGGGGGGGGGTGAGCATCTGCGCAGTTGCACCGCCTGCGCACTCGATGGCTGTGGCCACTGGAGGAGGGTTGGGTGGCAGGAGTGAGGAGTGGGCCTGGAGCTGGAAGGGAGACGCGGCCACGATAATAGAGCCACGTGTTTTATTTAGCGTCTCCACTACACCTTTAAAAACTTCCTAACACAGTACAAACAACTCGACTTTCTCCCTCACTTCTCTTCCCCCCCCCCACCCACCCTCGTGGTGAACAGCTCTTGAAGACCTCACCCCATTCCCTTTACTCACACGACCCCCACTACCACCCATCACTCACCCAACTCTCTACCATTGTTAAGGGGGGGGGGTGAGTGTACTTTATTTTCGTGAGGGGTATGGGGAGGAGGAGGTAACGTCGTGGTGGTTACCGCGCTGCGCTACGAATCCCGGCCCAAACCGAGTTCGATCCCCGCTCACGGCCAACAACAGCGAC